AGTACGTACTACTATTACGTATGTTACTCGTATTATTACTATTATTCGTTATTATTATTAGTATCGTACGTACTACTACTACTATTACGTTGTTTGTTATTAGTTATTACTATAGTAGAGAGAGAGAGAGAGAGAGAGAGAGAGGTTTGATTACAAAATTTTGGTGAGATTATGTGAAATTACTAATTGTGGCATTTGTTCACTTTACTGAGTTGAATTAGTCCTCTACACATAATTTGATCCCATACCCAGAACTTGATCAGTTATTTAACTATGGAGTTCCAATACCAAGAAAAATTAGATAGAGTAAATTTATGCATTTTGCAATATTGCAGGACAAGATATGTAGATTTGGGTTGGCCATGGGAGACATCGGTTACAGATGACCAATATGTCTCACGATCTGAGGTCAGCTGGTCCCAAATTTCCAAATTCCTGGATCAGCTGAGCAAGACAAGAGAAAAACTATCGGTTGGGTTGCTAAACTTCAACTCTTCCGAACTCCATCAGTGGAAGAAGTTGACACCAGGTCTAAAACCGGTCAAATTACACATAGAACATGCAAAACCAAACATCACATGGGATTCACTTTACCCCGAGTGGATAGATGAAGAAGAATTCTCTGAAATTCCTGTTTGCCCTTCCTTACCATTGCCTAATGCTCCAAGGAATTTGAAGCTTGATTTAATTGCGGTAAAGCTTCCATGCAAAAGGGTAAAGAACTGGTCAAGAGATGTGGCCAGGCTCCATTTGCAGCTTGCAGCGGCAAAGCTTGCTGTTTCTATGGATGGCTCCTCATCTCACATTCTTCTTGTGTCTGAGTGTTGGCCTATCCCAAATCTTTTCACATGCAAGGAGCTCATCTTTCATGAAGGAAACACAAGGGTTTATAGGCCCGACAAGGTGACAATGGTGAAGAAACTTGGGCTACCGGTTGGGTCCTGTGAGCTTGCAGTGCCACTCAAAGCAAAAGGTACTTTATTATGCTTGTTCTTTTTAGTTATTTACCAGCAGGGTTCGGTTATTTATGGCTCGTGATCTGACTGGAAAATTTAGGCCTGCCTTATTGTGTGTGTGTGTGAGAAAGAGGGACCCACTAGACCTACAGGACAATAACTTCAAGGGAGTGCCCCACTTCCCTTTCTATGTACATTTCATTTGCCATTTATAACTTTCGTAATCCATGGGAATTTGCGATATGTATAAATCAACCCAAAGAACTCCTCTCCCTGCCTCCAACTCTCTCGATCTTCACTTTGCCCATTAACCAATGTCATTCTTTCACTTTCTCTCTCTTCTAAGCAGACCGCATCTATGCCGGAAACCCGCGTCGTGAAGCCTATGCGACCATCCTGCACTCTGCCCACATCTATGTCTGTGGCGCCATTGCTGCTGCACAAAGCATCCGTCTCACAGGCTCAACCCGTGACCTCGTCATACTTGTCGATGAAACTATCTCCTCCCATCATAGAAGTGGCCTTGCAGCGGCAGGTTGGAAGATAAGGACCATCCAAAGGATCCGAAACCCTAAGGCCGAGAAAGATGCGTATAATGAATGGAACTATAGCAAGTTTCGACTTTGGCAACTCACTGACTATGACAAGATTATATTCATTGATGCCGATCTCCTCATACTAAGAAACATTGACTTCCTCTTTGAAATGCCTGAGATAACGGCCACTGGTAACAACGCTACCTTGTTTAACTCTGGAGTAATGGTGCTTGAGCCCTCTAATTGCACGTTCAATCTACTAATGGACCACATTAACGAAATTGAGTCATATAATGGGGGGGACCAAGGGTACTTGAATGAGATTTTCACATGGTGGCATCGAATACCAAAGCGTATGAACTTTTTGAAGCATTTTTGGGCCAAAGATGAGGAGGAGAAAGAGTATAAGACCCGGCTATTTGCTGCAGACCCACCTGAGCTCTATGTCCTCCACTACTTGGGCCTGAAGCCATGGCTATGCTTTAGGGATTATGATTGTAATTGGAATGTGGACATATTGCAAGAGTTTGCAAGTGATATTGCTCATTGGAGGTGGTGGAAAGTGCATGATATGATGCCTGAGAAACTGCAGAGGTTTTGTCTGCTTAGATCAAAGCAAAAGGCAGGGTTAGAATGGGATCGCAGGCAAGCGGAGAAGGCGGCCTATGATGATGGCCATTGGAAGAGAAACATAACCGATCCTCGTCTTAAGATTTGTTTTGAAGAGTTTTGCTTTTGGGAGAGCATGTTATGGCATTGGGGCGAAACGAATTGGACTGACGATGCTACTCCTGTCACTACCACTGTACCAACAGCTTCTCTGTCTAGTCTGTAATTTGTTATCTTCATTATTATTTTTCATCACGAACTCGAGTTCGTGATGAAATTCATTGAAGTTGGGGATGTTTTTAGTTTGGCTTCGATCTTATCCTCAATTTTGACAATCTGTAGCCCAAGTCATAAATTGTTTCACAAATTTAAATCTCATTGGTACTTCGAATATTTCAGCAAGTCTTCTCATTGGTACTCCAAATATCTAAGCAAGTCTACAAGTTCCTTGAAATTTCATAGTAAGTGCCAAAATGACCCAAAGTACCAAAATGACCCATGGTATAGAAAATGAGATTTCTGACTAAAAATTGACGCTTTGTAGGCCTGCTGTACTTAACCCAACATCATCGCCCTCTTTATATAGATGGTACATTTTGGGTGAAACGACTGCAGTTTAACCAGGGCTTGCCCGAGTAGGACCGGATTCCAAGGTTGGTGGCACCAGGCCAAAAAAACTGCAGAACCGCCCGTCTCCCCGTTTTCCAATAATTTTTAAATGTTTCATGTAAAGTGTAACCCTGTCCGAGTCCCATTCACCTGAATCAGACTACGAACTTGGGGCCTACACTACGAACTTGGGGCCTACACTATGTTTGAATCACTAGTGGTTGAAGGTAGCTATGAAAGTTTTTTCAGACCAGGATCAGAACCAAAGTTCACTCTCAATAAGGCCATACTTCTCTCCCTCATTCAACAATGTTATATCCATGTGAAACAATCCACGTGATATGAATAACTTTTCCCACCCATTAATCCTTGTCTCATTCTTGGATTCACATGTTTATGTTTCTGAAGTCTTTTCAATGAAAAGCATGGCACCGACATCTTTAAGAATCTAATACTTCATATTGCAACACAACTATATATATATATATATATAGGTTTGTCTAGAGTTAACAACCCATCAAAATACAAAAGTTCAAGTTAAAAGGGGTTGTGATGGGTGTATTTATCAGAACAATCATTATTTTTTATTAAAAACTATTTTAATAGGTTATTTTACCATTAAGCAATGGTAAATTCAAAATTTTTACGAAAGTACAATGGCATTTTGGAAGTCAGTGTCCTGAAACTTTATTTGTAGAGTGCTCATGTCTTTTAGTTAAAATTTTAATTTTACCCTTTATAGAGATGAAAAAAATATCCTTTGTCTTGTAGTAATATTTACAAAATTGCCCCACAAAAGTAACTGTTTTAAAAAAATAAACTGCTAAATTAATAAATCCACCATTCACATCTCTCTCTACCTTGAACCTTTGTAATTTGAAGGGCTGTAAAGTTTAGAATATCATATATATATATATATATATATATATATAGAGGAAGATACAACAAAACGCCTATAGGCAAAAATGAATAGTGATTTTGCTTACCCTCATCACCGTCCAAAGTTCATCTCACGATCACGATTGTTCGGCAGTGTTTCATTTTTTGTTTTCTTTTTTACAAATTAGAATGATCTGAAATTTTAAACTTGTGCTCATCAAAAATAGATGAATTTACAAAAAATATCAAAAAAAAAAATACATAAAATAAATTGATCAAAATACCCTTTAAAGGTTTCAGGGGTGTTTTGATCAATTTGTTTTTTGCGAATTATTTTTTTTATATTTTTATTAGGTGTGTCTCACTAAGATGTACACATGCTCCAAATTTCAGATTATTTCAATTTGTAGAAAAAAAAATGAAAAATGAAACACTACCTCGTGACCGTGTGATGAACTTTAGATGGTGATGAGGGTCGGCGAAATCACTATTAATTTTCCTCTATAAGCATTGGGAAGAGTTTTCCATATATATATGTATATATGAATGGATTATATCAGCTCACGGGCTAACAGCTATAATGTCAGCCAATTGACCCATATAGAATCTGGGCCAATCTGACGGTCACGATTTTATTTCGTATTTAAATTTTTCATTTTTTTTCTACAAATCTAAATCACTGAAAATTTTTAGCGTATATTCTACTCATCAAGGAACACCTAATAAAAATAATAATTCATGAAATATAAATTTACCAAAATACACCTGAAAAGTTTCAGGGGTATTTTGGTCAATTTATATTTTATAAAAAAATTATACTTTTATTAGATTCTCCTATTTTTTTAGAATAAACATGCAAAATTTCAACTGATTTGGATTTGTATAAAAAAAAATAAAAATTCAAATACGAAATGCGATTGTGACCATTGGATTGGGCCCAGATTTAATTTGAGCCATTGGCTGACACTGTAACTGTTAGCCCGTGGGCTGACAGGATCATTTTCCTACACATATGTGAAAACACTACAAAACTCCTATAAGTGAAGTTCTATAGTACTTCACCGACGACTTTATTGTTGATCAAAGTTTATCACACGGTTATAGATGTCTAATAATGTTTTAATTTTAACATTTTAACAAATCATAATGATCTGAAATTTTGTAGGTGTATGCGTCTTAGTGAGCATATGAATAAAACATAAAATAAATAATTTGAATGATAAAATTATGCAAAATACCCCTATAAAATTTTAGGGGTAATTTTGTCATTTATTTTATGACTATTATTTTTTTAATATTTTATTTTGGTACGACTAGGTCATATGTACACACGCCCAAAATTTTAGTTAAATCTAATTAGTACAATAATTATAAAAATTCAAATACTACCTGATAACTGGGAATGTGCTATAAACGTTGGATGGTAATGAGGTGTAGATGAAATATTATAGAACTTTAATCTACATAACTTCACCCTTATTACATCTTGCTTTGCAAATTGTAACATCAATTATGGGTCTCTCTCTCTTCACCCTTATTACATCTTGCTTTGCAAATTGCAACATCAATTATGGGTCTCTGCCTCTTGAGAGAGAGAGAGACGACATTGAACCTTAATTTCAGATTTTGGATTTTGGAAGTGGTTTTGATGCATGGATTTTGGATTCAAAAACTTTATAGGTCCATTATTTTCATCACCATAATTGAATTTTTTTTCTTTTAAATATTCATCTAACTTTTAAAAAATAGTCCATCCTACACTTTTTTTCTTTGGACTCCGAGCTCGAAATTCATGGATCAGAAGTGTGGTAAAAAAGAATTTGCAATAATTTAAAATGTGTTTTATATCCTAATACCCGTGAAAACCAAGCGAATGCATGAGTCAACACATCAAAGACTTTTCGTAAAATTCAAAAGAGAAAAGATTCTATATGATGTCATCCTTAGACTACTTTAAGATGTCCGGATCATTATCATTATCAGAAGCTTATCTCAACAATTTGGGGTTGGCTATACGAATCTTGTTTCTCTATTATGTTCTATCAGGGCGATAACATAAAACTTTATAGCAACTTTCCTTATAGATATGAAGAAAAAAAAAATCCAAATCCTAAAATAGTATATCTTGTAACAAATTATTTAGACATACTATTTTCAATATAGGATTGTGTACAAAGAGACCATTTATTTTTTGTCCATGTAGGTCACAGTCATTCTCACTCATTAGATGTCAAATTTGATAGTATGGGGTGAGTTCCGGAGCCATAGATTTTTTTTTGGAACTTTTTGTCTATTCAAAGACATCCTTACAATAACCCATTTTGAAATTTAAGGGATAAAAAAATTGTGCCCGTGCCCTCCATGTATAAAAGAAAAATAGTCTCTTTGTTGACAATCCCGTTCAAGATTGCCAGTGTTTATAGATATGCTTGATCTATGTCATTTTTTAAAGTTTAAATTTCATAACTAGGAATAGACATAAATTTTTAAATGGTGTGGTTTCTATAAGGTTGCAACCTTAAACAATCCAATTAAAGCACATCTTAAAATTTTATGATAACATTTAATTTTGTTGTAACTTTTTTTTAGTAGTATCTTAAATTATATTTTCATGACTAATTAGAAAATTTTAAATTTAAAAAATAGTTAAATTTTTGGTGATTAATTGATTATTAACTCGTTTGGACGATGAAATTGGTCCTATATCGAATTCATTTATAAATAATTGGTTTTTATTTTGAACAATGTGTGATGTTTTCATATTCTACTAGTTTTGTTTTATTTTTTTGATATTTTTACAAATTTGTAGATGGAACATTTACTGATTTGCACTTAAAATTTATGAATAGTCATAAACTTTAAATGAAATTTTTCGTTTTGTGAATATTTGACATCCAAAACCAAATCATATGAATATTAATCAATAAGTAATAATTATAATATAACTTTTATCTTAAAAATAGTTAAAATTATAATATAACTTAAAAAATTAAGTAGATTTATAAATATATGAACATATTGAAATTGGACGGTCTAGATAATATGTTGCAAGATGCGTTAATTCCGGGACTCAATTTTTTTTTTTTTCATATCCATACATTTCGATATCGAAATGATCGGTTAGAGTATTTTTGTAATATTAAAAGAATATTTTCGGTAGACTTTTAAGGTGCATATGTGATTCTACATTTTAAAGTTGCAAATCTTTCCATTTTTAAATCATCACAACATTTCTGACATCGAAAGAACATTTTCAGACAAAATTTACAGGTGTACCTTACTTCCTTCCACACTATAAATAGGGGCCCTTAATTAAAAAATCATAGAACCATGGAAATGTCTTAAAAAGGGCATGTGAAGGGATGCTACGTATGAGGAGGCGTAATAGAGCACCTAGCCCATGCCCTAGGGGCCCATGCTATTTTATTTGGGCAACTTTTTCTTGTGCCATTGACTTCTTATGGCTATCCTCTCCATAACCACAAAACCCTAAATTTAGTGGAAGTTCCATCAAAGTTGAAATTGGGCAACCAGCACAACCTCTACTGGGCCTCCACCATCAAGGCTTTCCCACTTTGGCTGGGTATAATTTTTGACAAGTCTCCCTAGACTCAAATTAGGTACAAAGGAAACAATCACAGGTTAAATATTCAAAACAAATGATAGGGATTTTTTTTTTAGAGTTTTTATTGAGGTTCTGCTTGTTATGGTAATTTGTTGTTTAATAAAATTAATCATGTTAATGATTTACGTATTAGTTCAAGTACAAGGTTATAAAAAGACATAAAAAAAAGTCTAAAAAAGATATGCATAAAAATAGTAAGAAGAGATATGATGATTTATGGTCTAACTGAGGGTATGTCATTTTGATAGAGCAAAATAGCAGGACAGGATTCGTGTAACCG